AAGATCCCTGAGTCCAAGTAGGACAGTCTGTCATTTTACAACGGTAGCTGTAGCCAGAGTGTCAGCACTCATGCTGTCTCCCCAAGCCTCAATACGCCAAAGGAAGTATCTACAGGGACAGAGGTGCCTGCCCAGGCAGTGGGCTATGGTGACAGAAAAGAAATTCAGAGCTTAGGGAACTTGAATCTTTTCTATAGGTAGTAAGTATGCCAGGGGGCATTTTCTTTAGTCTACCGGACAGGAAGCATGCCTATCCTTTGCCCGGGAGGGAGACACCATCTCTGTTTTCCAAGACTGTTCCCTGTACAAACACCCTAGAAAGGACAGTCACGTGCAGTCGGGGCTTCTGTCAAGCGAAGAGCAGAAACGTGAGACACCCTCAGAGGATGGTATCCCAGCACATCACGGCGCCATTCTCACTGGTGAGGACAGAAAGGAAACGTGGGCAGGAACGCTTTTGCCTCCAATGAGTGCTTCATGGGAGCCTGAGAACAAATAGAGAAATGCATCAAAACAAAAGCCATTAGAGATTACACAGGGACCACAGGCTGGCCCCAGGGACAGCAAGAGGGGAGTAGACACCCTGAAGAGTGTCTTGTCTTAACTTGAATCTACACAGATAGATCAGATTCAATAGCTGTTGCCGGTCAAAAGTAAAGCACACAGGACCTCATCGATTCTGAAAAAAAAAAGAAAAACAAAAAGGAAAAAATTGTGGCCATTAAAATGCTGGCTGAGAAATTCAAGAAATTGGTGGTCTTCTTTGAGAGTTTACAGTTGCACAAACTGGGCCTTTCTCTTCCCTCTTCTTCTCTTTCCCTACCCAGCCTCTCCCATCCCCTCCTGCTAAAGCCTCTGCTTTGAAACTAGCACAAGTGATTTCTGGAGTTGTAGACACTTTTTCCATCACCACTCAGAGAAGGCAGGAGGAGGAGGAGTTCTGGAACCCGTTAGCATGGGTGCAACTGCAGCAAAGATATTCTCGGAGATTCACATTGGAACCCCATGTGGTCTTCAGAATTGATGAAATGAGCACGTACAACTTCTAAAGGAAAATGTTTTCTAAAGAATCTTCCTGAAAGGTTTCAGAATGTAGCCATGTGTGGGTTAAAGACTGTCTTTCTATGGATGTGATGACATTTACAGATTGACTGATTTGACTGTTCTTCCCAAAGATTTTCATAAGGTTTTGAATAAACATAATTCAGTCCTCATACAAACATCCTACTCCACAAAAACCAAAAAGTGGGAATAATGCAACATAACCCAGCTACAAAAAGGAAAAATGGGTATGATATTTTTAACATTCACTTACTGATTAATGTTCAGTGGAACATGCTGTTAAAAAATGCAAATAACTAGATTTCCTCTTCTAAGGCATAAACCTGAAAAACTTAAGTACTATGTCTGTTCTACAGCTGCCAGCAAACACTGTCCCAGGGAACAAGAACTATCATGTGTATGTCTGCAGCAATGAGGGGTGAGAAGATCCATAGACCTTTTCAAATTTTTCTATAAAGTGAGTAAAAATTAAAATTGGTTACAAACTGATAAGCACTTTATACAATGGCGATTAGGAGTTGCAAAAACCAAAACAACAAAAACTCCAAAAATCTAATGAAATCTCCACTGGCCTAGGCCCTGATCCACCTAAGAGACAGCAGAGGTGAGACCAACTGGTGCAGAGAAACCTAAAGTGGAGAAATTTATGAGTAAAACTTTCAGTTTGCTCTTTGGTTCTATTGAATTGCAGTTCCATTTAGACAAGTAAGCCTAAAAGCTTACATTCCCTTTCTTCCACTTCTAATGGCTAGTTTTTTTATTCCCTGGGTGTGACTAAGTTAGAACATTCTTACTGGTTGGGGTGTTCTCTCCTGGAGGGAATTTGAATGAGCATAAGCAGTTGTTTTCTGGCCTGTATTAGATTGTGCCTGGGGTTGAAAGCCATTTATGCATCGTATGCCTTAGAATAAGGTTCTTATTTACTTGTCCATAGATAAATGGTTGCAAATGATTACAACAGCAAAGGTAATTCCACATAGTCCAGGAATCAGATGTGCACTGTTAAAAGCAAGGGAGAGAGAGGGGCAGGGAAGGGTAAGAGTATAGAATGGTCCCGACTTACAATGGTTCAAAAACGATTTTTTAACTTTACCATGGTGCAAAGCGGATACGAATTCAGTAGAAATCATATTTCAAGTACTCAAACCATTCTGTTTTTCACTTTCATTATAATATTCAATAAATTACATGAGAAATTCAACACTTCAGTATAAAATAGGCTTTGTGTTAGGTGATTTTGCCCAACTACAGGCTAATTTGAGTGTTCTGAGTGTAAGGTTGACTAGGCTAAGGCTGGGTAGGTTAGATGTATTGAATGCATTTTTGAGTTTCTATATTTTTGAGTTACAATGGGTTTACCATCATAACCCCATCATAAGTCAAGGAGCATCAGTATTGTTTGTTTTAAAGAGTAAAAAAACCAGAGAGTTACAGAATACGGAAACCTCAATAATTTGTATTTAAATTGCTCATTGTAGGACACTGCTCACAAATCTATATTCCTATGGTAATTCCATAGACAATTTGGTTTATTACTTGTTCTGTTTTATAACTGGTTGATTTCTTGCTAAGCTGTCTTTTTAGTCCTAAAGAATTCTAAAGGTCTGAAAATTATGTTGATAAATAAAAATAAAATGGCTAAATACTAGACAGGTTATTTGACACGGATACACTGAAGGTGTTGCAGAGACACAATGTATGACTCAGGAAGAAATCTTCCTATTGTCAAACTCAGCCTGGAATGGGCTCTCACCTTGGCTGCCTCTCCCATCACAGGAAGAACAGATGAGAATGTGCCCGGCATGGGGGCAGCCTCCTCAAAAGTAGCAGTCTGGGCAGCTTGGACAAAAGCAAACTATTTAAAAGCAAAGTAAGTGATGACTCTGTAACAAAGGGTTTAACTCTGATAAACTGAGAGACAGGTAGCACTTTGAAATTATCACTAAGTGCCCTGGTACGAAGAAGATAATCTGAGAAGAGAGAGCTAAATTCTGTGAGTGACATGTGGCAAAAGGCTTCACCAGTCCATCAAGAGGATGGGTTGGGCTCAGCCACTCAAATGTAGTGCACAGTAGCTGCACTAAGTGTACTATTCAGTTATGCTTAAGGACAGAGATCATAAAATGTGTAGCCCTCCAGGATGGGTTCATTGTCTACTAATAGCTTTGCTGTCTTCCCAAAGGCCCAAATTATAGAAGCCTTTTTAATGTTAAATATAATTACCTGAAGCAGGTACACCTCATCTAATAGAATCTACTGATACTGGTGCACAGAGCTTTTGTATTTTTTGGAGAATGTTAATACAACAAAGGTCTTTTCTCTCAGACTGGGCTATACTTTGTATTCTCTCACTGAGCAAGAGAATATATTTACTATAGGCATAACCTAAATATTTCATGGAGAAGAGAAATCTCAGAGCAGAGTATTTTTGTAAATATGCCAACAGATCCTGACATTTTTTGTCTGGTCCTAAAGAAATGTTGGTGAATCAGGAAATGTAGCTACTAATAGGGCTATACCTTATGTGGAAGGTGTGCCACACAGGGAAGATACAAGGAGAATGTACAAATTAATCGAATGTAGTTTATTTATCAAATTAGCCCTCAATAGGAAAACAAAACATTTATTTGCTTTTGTTTTGTTTCGTGCCCTTAAATAATTCTAGACTCCCATCTGAACTCATTGACAGGAAACTTAATCCTAGTTATTCCTGGGATTCCCCTCCCAGGGATTTGCTAAGATCCTGAGGTTCTATGCATGCCCAAAGATCTGGACACCAGTTTTGAAAATGGTTATCAATGCACTGTTGTCACCTAGTCACCTGCTGTTTCGCTCTGCCTGGCCCTTTAGCTGTGGCAGCTCTGCGATCTCTAAGTGGTGGTGTAGACACGGAACATTTGTGTAAACCCAGAAGGCAGCCCGCTAGATGCACCAGTCACTTCCTCACCTGGGGCCCTGCCACTCACATGCTGTAGCTAGGAGACCCCTACCATTTGATGTCTGTCCAGTCTGGGGGAAACAGCTCCCCTCTACTGGGCCTCATCAGTATTTCTGCCTAACATGCTCATGTTGACAAACTTTAGCTGTTACAAAACATAGGTGGAGTTGTTGTGTTTCACCAGACTTTGTTCTGAGGCCTCTAAAAATCCAAGGCAGGAATAAAACCTAAGTCCTCAAAAGGAATCTAGTTACCTCAAGGACTTCGAGAAGGGCGTGAAGAAGGTTTGCTGCACAGAGAAAACACAAATTAATTGATCAATAAATTGTCCCCATATTATATAATATTCTGCTCCTGATCATGTGACCCACTGGTATTATCTTCACCTCCCATTTCCTCTTTGGAATAAGTGGAAATTAAAATTCCTGCCCCCTCCTCTTTGGAATATAATGTCTTTTGCTTGTCTGTTTGCATTATTTACTCTGATTGGATTTCTTATTTAAAAACTTATTACTCAAATCTACATTCTTGTATGACATTAATAAGTCAAACATTGAAGAGGGGAGGAAAGATGGGCTTATACTGCTGTCGTAGTTCTGATCATTAATTTAGTCCCGAGTGTTTACTGTGAGCTGGGTACTGTCCTGCCTATATACACATCATAATCAGTCCCTGAGAGAAGTCTTCTATGTTGTGCTTTTCAATCCACCCCCAGCACATCCATGAGGAATTGGTAATGATCACTACGAATCTGTTTCTACAGACATGATTTAATAGTTCTTCATTAACAACAAAAATGAGAAATGAAATTGAGGCAAGAGTTTTAAAAATATAAGAACATGGTTAAAGTTATATCACCTTCTTTTACATGGAAGACTGTTTATATATGAAAGGAAATATATCTTAGAACACATTTAAGAAAAAGAATTTTTAAAAAACAATGCAACAGGAGTGCGCTTTGGAGTGAGAAGCCGCCGGGGTTTAGAAAGCTGCCGTCGACATGCTGTCGGCCCAGGGGAGCCTGGTAGCCAACCGAGGCCGGCGCTTCCAGTGGGCCATTGAGCTGAGCGGGCCTGGAGGAGGCAGCAGGGGCCGAAGTGACAGGGCAGTGGCCAGGGAGACTCACTTTACCCAGTCGGTTACTTGGACAAGCAAGTGCCTGATACCAGTGTGCAAGAGACAGACTGCATCCTGGTGGAGAAGCGCTGCTGGGACATTGCCTGGGGTCCCTTCAAACAGATTCCCATGAACCTCTTCATCATGTACATGGCAGGCAATACTATCTCCATCTTCCCTACTATGATGGTGTGTGTGATGGCCTGGCAACCCATTCAGGCACTTATGGCCATTTCAGCCACTTTCAAAATGTTAGAAAGTTCAAGCCAGAAGTTTCTTCAGGGTTTGGTCTATCTTATTGGGAACCTGATGGGTTTGGCTTTGGCTGTTTACAAGTGCCAGTCCATGGGACTGTTGCCTACACATGCATCAGACTGGTCAGCCTTCATTGAGCCTCCTGAGAGAATGGAGTTCAGTGGTGGAGGACTGCTTTTGTGAACCTGAGAAAGCAGCACCTGGTGCCTATGTATTTGGGTCTTATTTATATCCTCCTTTTTTGCCCAGTGGCTCCTCATCATACTCTTAAAATAATCACTCATATTGAAAAAAACCAAAAAGGTCTCTTCTTCATGGTGAGGAGATAGATCCTACTAGGAGGACAATGTTCACATTATTACAAACACAAATAAACTGTACCACAACCCCTGACTGAAAAAAAAAAACCAATGCAACATAAAATAAAAGAAATAATTAATTGTATTAAGAAAATACAGGGTTCAGGAAAAGACTCAAAAACACCTAACAAAAGTGGTTAGTGGCCAGAGACTTCTGAAAGCAATTAAGAGAGGAAATTGAGAGATCAAAGATCGGAGAGGGGGAAAAGTGAGATGATAGTATAGATGCAAAGGTGGTCTTCCATGTGGCGAGAGGGCACAATGTCAACGTGGGTAGGAAGCAACAGACAGATTAAGAGCCAGACGCTGCCCTAGAGTTCATGTTCCTTGGCCCGGTTGCAACAGCAGATGCAGCAGAAATAATACAGGACCAAGGAGGCAGCAGCAATTTTAACTCAGGTAAAGCACAGGATTGCAAAGATGAATATTCCTACAGGTGGAAAGTATAAGAAAAAGTAGAGCAGAAGAGGAAAAATACTCATAAATTAAAACATAATAAATACTTTGTTAGTTCAAATAAATTTAGTTTTGCATAGGTTGTTAGTTTTATATGTCCTAGTCATAATCTTTAGAGAAATTAAAATGAGTTAAGGTTAAGTGAAATAATATATATTCTGTGCTTATTTTAAGTTGCTTTATAACTATGTGAAATGCCTCCAAAATCTTCTAAAACTTTTGGTTACAAATAATAACACATGAAAAAGTACTTGATAGTTCTAAGAAAAAAGGAATATAAATAATTAGGATAGTAGTATTATATAAATTAATTGTAGAATTTATTTCAAATTAGTCTAGGATTATTTTTAAAAATGTTCTTTTTCTTATAATTTTATAATATTTTAATGTAAATATCACTTTTTAAATAACTAAATAATATTTATAGTAGATATTTATGATAGATATCTTTATTTTAAAATATTTTGATTGTTTAAAATATTTGATTACTATCTACTCAAGGTAGAATATACCAAGCCACATAAAAATATATATTGTTCTATTTCCCTGTAAAGTAGTAGCTTTTTTAACTGTGCTTTGCTTTTCAGATGATTTAAGAGGTTAGAACTATATTAAAAACAGGAATTTGTCATTAGTTATCACCATTTATTATCAAGAAACCCTCATAATTCATAAAGTAGCAATTAAATTGGTATATGGTTTCCCAAAAATAAATTAAAAATCCATGGAAACATTGAGTCTGTTTGAAAAAATAAAATTAGAATCAACAAATAAGCCAGCATTTTCCACAATGACGGCATCAACAATCCTTTTACTCTTTTTAGAGCACATTATGAAAAATAAGCAGAAATAAAGGGGAAAAAAAGACAATTCTAGGAGTCTGGTGGGTATTTTTCGCAGGATTAGAGAGGATAATCAATACAGAAATAGTTCTCAGTTTGATTTTATGACGTGTTGCTTTTCATTCAAAAAAGAATTTTCGTAAATCTAATACCTATTTCAAGTAACTTTCCTACTACTATTTAAAATAGCATTTTCCTCAAGGCAAGAGTAAAGAACAGCTTTGGGGACTGAGTTGTGTTGAAATGGCAAATCAGTAGGGTAGTGACTGTTCAGCAGTGAAAGTGTGAAATGGGAAGCATTCTGAAACAGCATCATTATACTGAGTATTTTGTAGGATTATTCACACACATATACTAAGAAAAGGATGATAAATGTAGGGTCAAACTTTCATGTCTTAAACAGTTGTGCTACTGATTTGAAACTTTTACATGGAGCATGTTTAGAATTATATCAATTTTAAACCAGATCAGACTTAAAATTGTCAGTGTCTGAAAATTTTCAATGTACTCAAATGGTTAAAGGAATCACTAGCTTCTCCTATAAAATGAGACTAACTGTTAAATGTGTACCTTGAAGTAATGTATAGGGTGAAATACTGATTTAATCTAATGAACTCAAGTTACACAAAAAATAACCTTGGTTACTCTTCCTTCATTTATGTGTTTAAACACAGCAGAAATTTGTGGGCTGCTGATACACACCCCAAGGCACATTCTATAGATAAACAGGAGACTTTGTTCACTGGATCTTTTCATTCAGAGCCTTTCATGAGCTGTGAATTCCCTCTAAAAGCACCTATCAGCATGAATAAACTGATAAAAGCAAATGTGTGAAATGCCTTTCAGTTAACTAACAGGCATGACTCCAAATTCTAGAACTCACACTGCTTTCATCTGAAACTCTACCCCAAGATGATGGTAAACATGATTTGATGGAAGGTCCTTCACTAAAGTTACCAGATCTTTGGCCTATTGTGGCGTGATAGTTAATGGAAAGCTTTGTTAGACATTCCTGTATGGCCTTTCAGATTGTATCCTGTGACTGTGGTATTCCCACTTTGTATGAAAAATCAGATTAATAAATCCATTCAGCCTTCCCAGAACATCCATTTATTTATCTATTCATTCAGTAGCTGCCACTCAGGAGAATACAGAGGTGACAAAATTACGGCCCATACCTCCAAAGTCCAGTAAAGACATCATGCTTATAGCCAAGTTAATTAAAATATATATATATATATATACGTATATATATGTATATATATAGTAGCAAAAACTGATAGAACTGTGGGGAGATATTGACAAATTCGCAAGAATGAGATATCTCAATTACTGATAGGACAACAGGAAAAAATATTAGTAAGGACAGAGAAAAGGTGTAAAAGGAAAATTAAAAGCTTGACTTAGTGAACATACCTACCATCTTGAACACAGAGAATACCCATTTTTCTCAAACACATATCGAAATATTTTTAATTGTCACATATTTATAAGAAAGTCTCAAAAAAGTCAAAAGATTTATATCATAAACAAAAACTAGCATAACAACTAACAGTAACAAAAAAGTAAATTAAAAATTTACATGTTTGGAAGATCTAAGGCATTTCTAAATAATTGATAAAAAGAAAACACACAATAGAAATTTTTAAAAATACTTAAAACTCAATAATGAAAATATATATTAATACTTATGAGGTTCAACAAAGTAGTTTTTCAAGGAATATTAGATCCTTATGTTTTTACAGAAAAAGGAAATGATGGGATAGATATCTTAACCAACAAGTTTCACTAAAAGTACAACAGAACCAACCCAAAGAAATTAGAAAAAATAAGTGGAAACAATGCAGAAATTATTAAAATAGAAATAAATATACAATACAGAAAATTTTTTAAAAAAACAAAAATTGGCACTTCATGGAAACTAACCTATTTCTGTCAAGAATGGCATCCATAAACATAAACGAGGTACAAACACTCTATGCCATGAATGAAAAGGGAGAGACAATCACAGAAGTGACTAAATGAATAATAAGAGAATATTATGAACAAATTTCTGCCAGTCTATTATAAAAGAGACTAAATGGGCACGTTTCTAGGAAAAATATAATTTTTTAAAACAGATTCAAGGAAAAATATTAATAGAAAGCCTAAGGAGTTCTAACTTATTTTTTAACACTTATTTAAGTAGTTTAAAATCTTTTACAAGAAAACCTTCTGGCCCAAGTGGTTTTACAGGACTTTTCCATAGTACTGTACTTTTATATAAGCTCTTCTAAAAAATACAGACATAGAGAAATAGGAATGGCTTCCCAACTCATACCACGAGGCTTGCATAACCTTGATGCCTGAGCGGAGGGGACAAGTGTGACAAGTCAGAACAACCTCACTCAGGGTGTAGAAGCAAAATTCCTAAGTAACATATTAGTAAACCCAATTGAGCTGTGTTTAAAGAAAATAGATGACAAAGTGGTGTTCATTCAAGAAAAGCAAAAGAGGGAATTTTAAATTAACCGCTTCGGTATGAGCGTCGACTATAGTTGACAGCCACAGATGAACGCGCACAGCCGAGCGTTGACTTTAGTCGACAGCCAAAAGCTTTTACTTTTACAGCGTTTATCTCTGCAGTTGCAGTGTGTACGTTCAGCTAATAAGTTACTACGAATCTGTGACCTTTTAACAAGTCCTTAGTAGGAGTTATTATAGTTATTTTCCTAAAGCTGCCTGTAAAGTAAAACAAGCTTTCAGTGCTTTAAAGCTTTCCTCATCACACAAGAGCAAAACGGATTCCTCCTCAATGCACAGTACAGACTATCGTGGGGACTATGAGTGCCGGCTGTGGGCACGGTTTCGTGGCCGGTGAGCACCGTACCGAAGTGGTTAAGAAAACTTACAATTTGCTAGATTAGATTATCAAAGAGAAAAACCACATAATTATCTCAATAGATGCAGAAAAGATACTTGATAGAATAACACTCATTTATAATGAAAATCTTACCAAACAAGAAATGAAAGAGAAGACTCTTAATAAGATGAAAACCTACGAAAAACCTAGAGCAAATGCAAATGCATAATGATAAGCATTATGAAGTATTTCCTTTAAAACTGACCTCTAATAACATAAGATTTCTGTATATAAAAAAAACACCAGAGAGAATATGAAAGACAGAAAATAAACTGAGAGAGGATGTTTACCGCACATATAATAACAATAAAAAATTTCCAGAATATGTAATATATGCTCTATTATATATAAATATATATTTACAAAAAATATATAATTTATATAAAAAACTATATAAAATTTATATAAATATATATGTATATATGTAAAATCTGAGTCTATTCAGGCTATCATAGTAAAATACATTAGACCAAGTAATTTATAAACAACAGAAATTTGCTGCTTATACTTCTAGAGGCAGGGAAGGCCAAGATCAAGGCACTGGCAGATTTGGTGTCTGGAGAAGGCTCAGTCTCTGCTTCACAGATGGTGCCTCCTTGCTGCATCCCGACATGGTAGAAGACATGAACAAGCTCCCTTGGGATACAAAGGTACTAAACTCATTCACCAGGGCTCCACCCTCAGCACCAAAATACCTCTTAAAGGCCTGACTCTTAATAATTACATTGGTAATTAGATTTCACTATATGAATTTTGGAGAACATACACAGTCAGATCATAGCAGACTCATAGATATCATTAAGAAAAAAAAATAATCCTACTGATAATTGGCAATA